TCTCCTTTAAATAGTATATTAATGTATTATAGTATAGTTATAACAAAGAAATCATTCAGCCTTCTGGAGTCAGACCTGGTCATTCCTTCCCACCAGATTCACCTGCATTTCCACTCGGCATCCATCGAGCAGCCTCACCTGGCTGCAGGGCTCTGAGCAGACCCCGAGCGCCTCTGCGAGCTCAGCTGGAGCGTCCTGCTGAGCCTCCAGGATTTAGCTTTTCTTTTATTTTATTTCTGTTTCAGCCTGCAGCTCTCCAGATTATTATTATTATTATTATTATTATTATTATTATTATTATTATTATGGTATTGGCATCTCCTCTCCACTAAGATTTCCTCTGCAGCTGGGGAGTGCCGTGAGGTCAGCGAGTCAAGGGGGATTGCCAGAATCTCCTCAGTGCCTGGTGGCACAAGAACAACCCTGAGATGGGGAAATGGAGCCCAGAAGTTGCTGTGGGGTGGAGATTTTTGATTCTGGATCCTCTCTGCCCCTCCCAGGGGCGTTCTCCAGCTGGGAGGTGGCTGCTGGGTCAAGGTGTTCAGGAAAGGCCAAACCAAAGTAACTATCTCCTTTTTGGGTTTTGTTTTTTTTTGGAGGGGTTTTGGTGCAGCTGCCTCAAACTTGTGGCTCGGAGCTTCCAGGAAATGCAGGCTCCAGATGTGGAACGTGGACCAGGCCTCCATTCCTGGAATCCCTGAAGTGCCCTGGTGTGCACAGAGCTCCATTTCTGTATTTATTCTGCATTATTATTTGTTCTGCAGCAGCGCTGAAAGGACAGATAACTTCAGCTTGAGCTGCACTCCACCCGCTCAGAAGAAGCTGCCTCACCCCGAGATTTTATTTTTGTGGAATATTCTGCTTATTTCCATTTCCAAGTGCGCTGATTGAAGCCACAGCTGCTGCCCTTATTTCTACTTTTGCTCTCTCCTTCCCCGCCAGAGCTGCATTATAAACTGAGGACTCGGTATTTTTATCTGAAGCACCAAACACAGACTCCGTGGCGTAGGCAAAAATCCATAATTAGTGGGGCTCGAGGCAGAAGTGGCTGCACTGACGTGGGCAGGCTCGGGAGGATGCTCTGCCACGTGAAAACTTTCCCGTGGAGCTGCCCAGCTCTGCCCCTCCGTGGGGTTTTTGTTGGGTTTGGTTTTTATTATTTTTTTTTATTTATTTCCTTGGCAGCACCAGACACAGGGAAACGACCTAAAAGGCTGTTGAAGGAAATGTATTTTTCATATATTTGCTCCATGCCTTTGCAGCGCCGCTCCTCGTTGTGAGCTGGAGCCTGGCAAGGCACGTTGGCGAGGGAATAAGGAATTTTCTGATGTGATGTGCTCAGATATTGATTTTCTTGCCTTCCTTCTCTCTTCAAATTCTGTTTACAAATTCCTTTTGCTTTAATTTTGTGTTTCCTCCTGAAGGCAGCACAAAGGCAGCCTGTGGGAGGACCAGAGGCTGAGCCCTGTTCTTCAGGAGATGGAATTGCAAAACATTTTGTCATTTTCCCCCAAAACTTGGTAAACAAGCGGGGTTTGGGGCTGGGGAGGCTGGGGTGGGGCGAGCTCAGTGCAGCTGCTCGAGCACAGATGGGGAGTAGCCCCAGCTCTGCTCTGGGCCACATGGAAATGGAGCTGATTTCCAAAAGGGGATGGAAATGGAGTGGATTTCCAAAAGGGGGATGGAAATGGAGTGGATTTCCAAAAAGGAGTGGAAATGGAGTTGATTTCCAAAAATGGGATGAACCCTGAGTTCTGCTCTGGGCCCCAGTGGAAACAAAGTTTATTTCCAAAAGGGGGATGGAAATGGAGTTGATTTCCAAAAGAAATGGGATTAGCCCTGAGCTCTGCTCAACACCTGTGGAAATGGAGTTCATCTCCAAAAGGGGGTGGAAATGGGGTTCATTTCCAAAAGGTGGATAGAAATGGAATTTATTTCCTATAGGAGAATGGAAATGGAGTTGATTTCCAAACGAAAAGGGATTAGCCCTGAACTCTGCTCAACACTGTGGAAATGGAGTTGATTTCCAAATGGGGGATGGAAATGGAGTGGATTTCCAAAAGAAAAGGGATGAGCCCTGAGCTCTGCTCAACACCTGTGGAAATGGAGTTGATTTCCAAAATAAAAGGAGAATGGATGCAAAACTGCAACATCTGGGCCAGGAATTCTGCCTGCTCCCCTTCCACAGCCAGAATTCCTTGCAGGCCCCAGGATGCAAACAGAGCCTGGCTGTTTCTGCCCTGTGCTGAGGGAATCTCCACTCCTGAGCATCAAATCTCATTTTGTGCCTTCCCCTGGCCCGTTTCTGCGGGGTTTGTGTCCCACACAGCTCTGACACACCGGACTCCCCATGGCTTTGCCCCTCTCCTCTCCCCCTCTGCCCACTGGAAAGAAATCACCACAAATTCCCCAAATCCTGTGCCCTGGCTGGATCCCAGGACAGAGCCTGGCAGAGCTGCGGTTCTTTCCGGCCACAATTCCTCCTCCAGCCGTGCCCTCTCCTCCAGGTGCTGCCTCTGCTTCCCGACCTCTCCCTGGTGGGATTTATCTGGGCAGAGCGGCCGTGTTTGCACTCGGGCAGAGCCAGGAGGTTCTGGCCTTGGACCTTTGAGGTGTGTCCTGATCAGGCGTGTGATAAAAATATCGATGTGCAATTAGCCGGGGAAGGGAAACTGCTGCTGTGGGCAAGAAAGAGAATTTTAGATCACAGCCCCCTGCAATATTGATAACAACAGCCCAGAACAGGGCGGGTGGGCTTGGGCGGCTTTTTCATCCTGTTCCTGGGCACGGGGATGTGTTTTTAGGGGTTTGGGCCTGAACGTGTGAGTTTAAAGGGTGGCACAATCTGGGGAGGGCGCAGGGCCACTCTTGGGTGTCACAGCCTGGCCTCGGGGCTGCGGGGGAAGCCTTGGGGCTGCTGCCAGCGGCTCTCCCGGGCCGGGGCTGGGGGTCCCGCACCCCGGGGTGGGGG